CACTCCCAGACCGAGCCCCCGGGCCAGGAGCAGGCCCTGGGGAGCGCAGGGTCCTGGACTGGCCTGAACCCCCATCCTTTGAACAAAGGAGGAGTTGAGGCCCCTAAATTAGCGGCAGAGCTGGGATAGATCTCAGGTCTCCAGACTACTGGTCTCCCGGTCTAGTATGACCTCTGCATAGGCCCCCAGGGGACCTGTGTTTCTCTGACACGGGCCCCAGGAGACTAGCCTTTCCCGCTTGGCCCGACCACCAGAATATGAAGAATAAAAACATCCACAGAGACAAAGGCAGATGGGTGGCTGCCTGGGCCGGAGAGGCGGGAATGGGAGTGACTGCTTCGTAGATATGCGTTTCCTTTGGGGGTGACACTGTTGGAACTAGACAGAGGCGGCAGTTGCACACACTGTCCATGTACTAAATGCCACAGAATTATTTGCTTTAAAATGGTGAATTTCATGTTGGGTGAATTTCACCTCAATTAAAAATAAGGGTACAGCTGAAACCGGTTTGGCTCAGTGGTAGTGCGTTGGTCTGCGGACTGAAAGGTCCCGGGTTCGATTCCGGTCAAGGGCATGTACCTTGGGTGCGGGCACATCCCCAGTAGGGGGTGTGCAAGAGGCAGCTGATCGACGATTCTCTATTATCGATGTTTCTAGCTCTCTATTCCTCTCTCTTCCTCTCTGTAAAAAATTAATAAAATATATATATTAAAAAAAAAATAAAAAATAAAAATAAAAATAAGGGTACAGCTGAGACTGGTTTGGCTCAGTGGATAGTGTCGCTCTGGGGACTGAAAGGTCCCAGGTTCGATTCCGGTCAAGGGCATGTACATTGGTTGTGGGCACATCCCCCGCAGGGGGTGTGCAGGAGGCGGCTGGTCAATGTTTCTCTCTCATCGACATTTCTAGCTCTCTGTGGAAAATCAATAAAATATATTTTTTTAAAATAAATAAATAAGGGTACAGGTCCTGGCTGGGTAACTCAGTTGGTTAGATGGTCGTCCTGATACACCAAGGTTGCAGGTTTCCATCCTTGTCGGGATACATACAAGAATCTACCACAATGGAGGCATAAATAAGTGGAAAAACAAATCAATGTTTCTCTCTCCCTCCCTCCCTTCCTCAAATCGATAAATTACACAATAGTAATAACAATAAAGTACCTGTAGCTAAGAGATTAAAGGACTAGGAGGAGTGGGAAGCCCCAGGTAGGGGAGGGAAGGTGAAGGAGGGGCTGAGGAATGAGGCGGGGAAGAGGACTTGGCTGTCTCCACTCCGCCTCCGAGCTGTTTGCTTTCCCTCAGACTTTAGACTGGAAGCTCCTGGGGGTGGGGGCAGGGACCTCCTCTCTAGCTGTTTTTAATTCTCAGAGCAGAGCGTCATCGCGGGTGTATGGGTCTTTTAAGACCTCTGGCACCAGTGGAATGAAAGCAAACACGTTAGGCAATAGGAAGATTATCCACCGCCCACACCAGGGAAGTGAGGGTGTCACTGGGGCAGGTGTGTGCCACCTCGGGGCAGCAGGGGAGCTGCCTGAGAATCCCCAGGGCAGAGAGGGCCTGCCCATCACACCCTTGCAGGCTCTAGGGCTCCTTGCAGGCAGCACCCACTGGGGTCTGGGATGAGGGAAGGTGATGGGAGCAGAACCTGGGGGAGCACCATGGCCCCTTTGTCAGACCCAGGAAGGAGAGAGGGGCAGCTACAGGAAGTAGGGGGGGTGAGGAGTCCCCTCCGGAATCCATCCCTCTGCTTCCCTCCCCTCCGCTTGCACAGCTCCTGCACATGCTCAGTGTGCCCAGGAATTGGGTTGGCTGGGGGAGGGCATTGACTGGCACCCCCACTTAAAGGGACAGCGCCGTCCTTGCCTGCACCCAATAGAGGCCATGGGACCTGGCCACCCTCTTTCCTCATGAACTGAATTACTTCACCCTGACCCCTTCCCCGCTTCCTGGCAGCTTCTTCCCGCCCGCTCAGCCCCATTGTCCACCTCACTGCCTCTCCTCATTCCCTGGCCCTACTCCTCTGGACACAGGAGTTTCTTTCTTTCTTTTTAAAATTTCTTTTATTGATTTTTTTACAGAGAGGAAGAGAGAGGGATAGAGAGTTAGAAACATCAATGAGAGAGAATCATCGATCAGCTGCCTCCTGCACACCCCCTACCGGGGATGTGCCCGCAACCAAGGTACATGCCCCTGACCGGAATCGAACCTGGGACCTTTCAGTCCGCAGGCCGAGCTCTATCCACTGAGCCAAACCGGTTTCGGCTGAACACAGGTGTTTCCACCTGAGGCGGGGGTCTTGGATGGGGAAGAAATGAGGATCCCAGGCCAGGGTGTGCGTGGTGGGAAGCTTCTGCAATCCCTCTGATGAGACACCTGCCTCCTGGGCCTCCCTCCCCGGGCCCAGGTGACCAAGAAGGTCCCGGAGAGCAAATGGACACGGGAGAGAAGGGCACTGGGCACTGCTCTGGAAAGGCCGGAGGAAGGGAAGGGAGGCGGGGGTGGAGGTGGAGAGGGGGGCTGTAGATTGGAGCTGACATCACTGTGGTGGGTAGGGAGCAGCTCGGGAGAGGAGAGGGAAGGGGGGAGGCACAATGAACTGTGCCTGGCCACCAGCTGTAGCCGGGCCGCCTCTCCTCAGAGCTGAGCCTGGAGACCCCAGCTCCACTGGGTGGGAGGGCGCTGAGGTCAGGGAACCAGATGGGGGGAGGGGGCGACTTTGACTTCTTCACCAATCCCTTCCGGCTCCTCCTGACACTTTCCCAGCTCACACCCTTTCCTTCGTTTTCATGTTGCCCAATCCTGCCCCCCCTTAAAAAAAAACACATATTTTTATTGATTGGTTGAGAAAGAGATAGAGAGAGAGAGAGGGAGAAACATTGATGGAGTCTGCAACCCAGGCATGTGCGCTGACTGGGAATTGAACTGGCAACCTTTCAGTGCACAGGATCATGCCCAATCAACAGTCAGACAGGCCAGGGCCACCTTGGGAATATTAACCCACCTGGGTACAGTCCTGTGTGTGTGTGTGTGTGTGTGTGTTTGGGGTGCAGGGAATGTGTGTGTGTGTATGTGTGTGTGTGTTTGGGGTGCAGGGAATGTGTGTGTGTGTGTGTGTGTGTGTTTGGGGTGCAGGGAATGTGTATGTGTGTGTGTGTGTGTGTGTGTGTGTGTGTGTGTTGGGGGTAGAGAGGGCCAGCTGGCAGCTTTCCTGTCTCCAAGCTCCTCAGCTCTGGGCCAAGAAGGGCTGAACTTCTCACCTGCCCCTCCCCTGTGAGATCTTGTCTACTGAGGGACAGCTGGCCCCAGCCATCTCCCGACACACCCCCACGCCCATCCCCCCACACACCCTCCAGGTACACACCCTCAAGGTACACACCCTCGGTCCTGCCCATGGCCTTACCCCTCCCCCCCAGGCTCTGCTGAGGAATGCTGCTGAGGCCGCCCAGCCTGCCCCGGGGCCCGAGTCCTGGCTGCTAACCCCCAGGGGAAGGCAGGCCTTGGATCAGCATTCTGGAGTCCCAAAGGTCACACTCTAAGGCTTGGGTTTCCCATCTGCACAGTGGGGACAGTCATGCCTCTGTATAGGGAAGGGGGCTGACACCCCTGGCCAAAGTCCCAGGGGCAGACGCTGCAGGGATGGAAAATTTTATTCTATTCTCTTGAATCCCACCCTTTCCTAGAATCTGTTCTCGGCCTTGCTTCACTGTAGAAGGTTCTGGTGAGGCCTGGGTGCGGCGGGGCAGAAACTAAAGTTGTCCTGGCAACACACAGGGTTCATCTGCGTTTCCATCTAGCGGGGGTGTGTGAGCTCACCTCAGAGCCCAGAACGGCTGGCTGGCGTGCTGGAGGCTTCTGCCTCTCCAGGCTGACTCAGCTGTCTGTACGTGCAGATAGGTGAGGGGCTGGGGGGGGGGGGGGGGTCACCATGCCAGGGATTGGGCTCAGAGGAGCAGGTCACTCCAGGAAAGCCAGGCCACAGCCCCGCTAGGATCCATTCACTGTCCTCCTTGAGAAAACTTCCTCTGCATGCTTGCTTGTAAGGTCCTTTCCCCTGGCTGCCAGTGGGGGGGGGGGGGGGGGGTTGGGGCTATCTGGGACAAGGAGACACAAGGCACCCATACCTCACCTAGCCCAGCCCCCAGGACCGTGGGGAAGACATGGAGAACATGGGGAACCTGGGGACACACCCTGCAGGAACCCCTGGACTTGGGCCTTCTCCAAGATCCCAGCCCTCTCTCCTCTGGGGAAGATCCCAGCTCCTCCCAGCGACCTGGCAGCTGAAGTTCTGGCTGGATCCAGGGGCTCCTGACCGAGCCCCCTCCCACCTCTACACCCCCCTCTATGAAACCTTCAGAGCAGTGTGACTGCTCCCCAACACACAGGGCAGCATTCAGGCCTCCTGGCGATCTCGATAGGACCCCAGTGCAGGAGTCTGCTGTCCTCCCAGGCTCGGGGCACGGGGGCACCAGGACCCCAAGTCCCAAGCCTTTCTGGGATGAGTGTGCCTTCAGTCTCGGAGCCCCAAGTGAAACCAGCCCCAGCCACTGCATTTGATTTCACCAAAACCATTTATTTTCTCTGTGAAAAATAAGATGCCATCACCCTAGCCGGGTTGGCTCAGTGGATAGAGCATTGGCCTGCGGTCTGAATGGTCCCGAGTTCGATCCCGGTCAGGGGCACATGCCCGGGTTGTGAGCTCGATCCCCAGTAGGGGGCGTGCAGGAGGCAGCGGATCAATGATTCTCACCATTGGTGTCTCTCTCTCTCTCTCTCTCTCTCCATCTCCCTTCCTCTCCGAAATTAACAATAATAAAAAAAAAAAAAATGCAATCAAAGAACAAATTGTGGAAACGACAAGGTGGAAGTCAAGCTGTCGTCAGGGGGCACGGGGGTGCTGGGAGTGATCTTCATCCACCACCTGCCACCTTGGGACCCGGTGGGCCTACGTTTGTGTGAAATGGAACCGTCTCCTTGGGCTAACCAGGCAAGGGGGCGCCCCTAGGTGCCTGGCTCCCCGTTGCCAAGGCCGCCCTCTTGATTCCACATCTCGTTCTCCTGCCGAAGCCGCTGGTTCTCTGTCCGCAGCCTCTCCACCTCGGCAGCCAGCTCCTCCACCTGGCGGCAGGACTGGCGGCTGGCGCGGCCCTGCAGCTGCTGCAGCCGCCGGGTCTCCTCCTCCGCCAGCGACAGCCGCCGCTCCAGGTCCAGGTAGTCCCGCACCAGCTCCTGCTTGCTGCGGCCCTGCAGGCTCTCCGTGTGGAAGCGCTCGTAGGTCTCGGAGAAGTCCCTCTGCTGGAACTCGCCGGGAGCCTGGCCGGGCCGGCCCCTGCCCTCCGCCTCGCTCTCTTCGCCGGAGCCCGGGTGGGAGGCCCCGCGGGGCACGTCCAGGTCCGGCTCCTCGGGGTTCCGGTCGTTCATCAGGAACTGGGTGGTGTTGTAGGGCGCCACGGCCTGGCCCTTGGCGAACATCTCCTCCCGGAGCCGGGAGGCCCGCTGGCTCTGCCTCTCGTCCCGCTGCTGCTTCTCGTCCCAGCTCAGCTCCAGGTAGGGCCGCCAGTGCCGCTTGCGCTTGGAGGGCAGCCGGCGGTGCTTCCTGCGGCCCAGCACCGCCTCCGCCGAGTGGCTCCTGGGGTTCTGGGTCCGGGGACCCCTGCTGTTGCCGCCCAGGCCACCGCCAGCCCCGGAAGGATCTTCCTCCTTGGAGTAGCTCTCCATCCGGGGTGTCGGGGGCAGGGAACTGGCAGGGTCATGGGGCTCAGGGGGTGTTTCCGGGCTCCTGGAAGAGTCAGAGGCCTAAAGGGAGAACACGAGGAGGATGGGTCACAGCCAGTCTGGGCCCCGAATCCCTCGCTGCCTCGTCACCCCCTCCCCACCTCCACCTGTAGCTCTCAGCCTTCCGCAGCCATTTGTTCATGGCTTCCCTGCCTCCCGTCTGCCCCGCATGGGCCCTAAGCAAACTAGGCAAGGGCAGGGATTTCACTCTGCAATTTCAATGCCTCCCGTCAAAAGAGCCCCATGCTTTACTTAATGCTCTGCTGGCTTGAACTTAATTTTTTTTTTTTAAATCCTTACACAAGGAGCCCTAAATCGGTTTGGCTCAGTGGATAGAGCGTTGGCCTGTGGACTGAAGGGTCCCAGGTTCGATTCCGGTCAAGGGCATGTACCTTGGTTGCGGGCACATCCCCAAGGAAGTATGCAGGAAGCAGCTGAATTGATGTTTCTCTCCCATCCATGTTTCTAAAACTATCCCTCTCCCTTCCTCTTGGTAAAAAAAAATCAACAAAATATATTTTAAAAAATAAATAAATCCTTACACAAGGATGTGCTTATGGATTTTAGAGAGAGGAAGGGGGATGGGGGATCATCTATGTGAGAGAGAACATCAATTCTTTGCCTTCAGTACCTGCCCCAATCCAAGATTGGACCCAAAAGCTACGTACATGCTCCGACCGGGAATTGAACCTACAACCAACTGAGCCACACTAGCCAGGGCCTTCTTACTGATATTTTAATAAAGAGCCCTTTGGCCGGGACCGGTTTGGCTCAATGGATAGAGCGTCGGCTTGGGGACTGAAGGGTCCCGGGTTCGATTCCGGTCAAGGGCATGTACCTTGGTTGGGCATATCCCCAGTAGGGGATGTGCAAGAGGCAGCTGATCGATGACTCTTTCTCATCAATGTTTCTAACTATCTCTCTCTCTCTTCCTCTCTGTATAAAATCAATAAAATATATTTTTTTAAAAATAAAAAAATAAAGAGCCGTTTGCACTGAGCTGCACAAATTATGTCGCTGATCCTGCCTCCGGGTTTTTGGATAGCTTTTTTTTTTTTTTTTTTTTAATTCTCACTGGAGGATATTTTCCCATTGATTTTTTAGAGAGAGTGGAAGAGAGGGAAAGACATAAGTATTGATGTGAGAGAGACACATCGATTGGTTGCCTCCTGCACATGCCCCAACCAGGGCCCAGGCCAGGGAGGAGCCTGCTATCGAGGTATGTGCCCTTGACCAAAATCGAACCCAGGCCCCTTCAGTCTGCAGGCCGATGCTCTGGCCACTGAGCAAAACAGGCGGTGGTGGACAGCTGACTCCTTTCGTCCTTTATTTAGGGCTTTGTTCCAACGTCACTTAATAAAGAGCCGTTTGGCCGGGACCGGTTTGGCTCAGAGAGGCCGTTCCCGACCAGCCTGTCTAAAGCAGCCCTCTCATCTCCCCTTCCCACTGACGCCCTATCACGTGACAGTTAACATCACACATCACGTTTAGCACGTTACTGTCTTCCTCCTGTAAGCATGTGACTTGTCTGTTCAGTTCACCACTGTGTCCCTGGGTACGGCCCACGGTAAGCACTTAGTAAATGTATGTTACATGACATAAAGCCCATACGAGGGGGCTCCAAAAGATACGGGGACACAGATTCTCTTTTCTGTCATTCGAGGGTGAAGAAGACGGAGGGCATTTATTCCAGGCAGGAAAGAGATCCTAGCTAGGCAGAGGAAAGGTCAAACTCTAGTCCGCAGCTGAGAGAATTCTAGAACTTATCTGAGATGCGCAAAGGATTCTGTCACGAGAGTGTGTGTTCCGGGCATCTGGTTCTCTCTGCCATGGTGAGGGTGGGAGCACTGAGCGGGGAGTGGGGGATGAGTATCTCTAAGTTTGTGGTTTGGGGAACTCTACTAATGACTACAACCCGTGGGATGTTGTTTTGTAATGTGAACACAGTTCAGAGACCACCGGGCATGGGTCCATGTAAGCACAGGGTATGTATCGGGGGATGAATGTAGCCCTGTAAGAGCTGAAGGTGTGTTACATGCATTTGGGAGACCCTAAAGAGAACATCAGGGAAAACGAGGTATGCTGGAGTGTGTGTGCATGCATGTATTGTTCTGTAATGTTAATTCACTTGCAGGGAGGTCAATTAAGAGTGACTGCCCTGCAGAAACCGGTTTGGCTCAGTGGATAGAGCGTCGGCCTACGAACTGAAGGGTCCTGGGTTCAGTTCTGGTCAAAGGCATGTACCTTGGTTGCGGGCACATCCCTGGTGGGGGATGTGCAGGAGGCGGCTGGTTGATGTTTCTCTCTCATCGATGTTTCTGGCTCTCTATCCCTCTCCCTTCCTCTCTGTAAAAAATCAATAACATATATTTTAAAAAAAGAGTGACTGTCCTGTCTTCATCAGTGTTTTAGGTCAAATGAGACAGCTCTGTCCCACCCTGAGAGAGGCAGTCCGCTGGGAACTCTTAAGGCAGGTGGCTTGTTTTTGTGTGCATAAAACAAAACACCTACCTCCCCCAGTCTGCCCCCCCACACTCAGCCAAAGCTCCCTATGATCTTTCCCCTCACCCAAATCAGCCCTGCCCCTCAGCCCCCCATGCTGCCTCCCTTCTAAAGGCTTGTTCCTCTGCCACCATTACCACTCCTGCAGGTAAGCTGTGTGACCTGGGTGAGTCATTTGCCCTCTCTGAACCTTCCAGCCCTGGCATGTCATGGAGTCCAAATTAAATCCAGGAAACACTGGAAGTGGCTAGAGAGGGTGAGTCAGAGGAGCTGAGTTCTCTTCTCAGCTACACCGAGTTGTGGACTAGGGGAGAAGAATTGATTTCAGAGAGAGAGAGAGAGAGAGAGAGAGAGAGAGAGAGAGAGAGAACACGGTCTGGGAGGGTTGGGCTCCTGTTGCCAGATCAGATGACATTCTAAGGGCTTCATACAATCTGTCTCTCCTGGGTGGCATCTTATCCCCCAGCACATCCCAAATTATGAACCAATTGCTCAAGCTCTTTCCCCTGCTTTAAACTTGGTTCTCAGCCTGGACAAGGCAGGGTTCTGTTGTCAGAAGGCCCTACGTTTAAACCCTGGATCAGCTGCTTGCTGATGGCATGATTCTAAAAAAGGTATTTCAGTTCTTAGAACCTTAACTTCTGTGGCCCAGCCGGCATGGCTCAGCAGTTGAGCGTCGGTCGACCTGTGAGCCAGGAGGCCACGGTTTGATTCCGATCAGGGAACATGCCCGGATTGCGGGCCCCATCCCCAGAGTGGGGTGTGCAGGAGGCAGCCGATCAATGATTCTCTCTCATCACTGATGCTTCTATCTCTCTCTCCCTCTCTGAAATCAATAAGAATATGTATAGTTTTTATATGTTTTTAAAAAATTGATTTCAGACAGGGAGGGAGAGGGAGAGAGAGATGAAACATCAATGATGAGAGAAAATCATTGATCGGCTGCCTCTTGCACACCCCCCACTGGGGATTGAGCCCACAAACCCGGCATGTGCCCTTGACCAGAATCAAACCTGGACCCCTTCAGTCCACAGGCCAACACTCTATCCACTAAGCCAAACTGGTTAAGACAAAACAAACAAACAAACAAACATATTTTTAAAAAAGAACCTTAGCTTCTGTGAAATGGGAATAATAAGTGCAATCCTGAAGGGCTTCTGGGATGTCATGAGAGAGCACCGACTTAGCATCTGCCATATTCCTCAGCGCACAGTAGGAACTCATTTAAAAATATCGATTTTCCCAAATCTGCCAACACACCAGGATCCCCGACGGCACAATCCACATTGAGGGCATTCCGGGGATCGGGAGGGCGAGGCTTACCTTGGCCTCCTCCATGGCTGCTGATCCCTCTGTATTAGTTGGTCGATTCAGAGGGGCCACCTTCTTCTGCTCCAAATCTCGCAGCAGACGCCTTTAACTAGTGACACCTGTTGTAAACAACCACAGAAACCTGAGTCCTGAAGGAGAAGTCTGAGGGAGCCTGGCAGCCCTGGATTTATTTTTTTATTATTATTATTTTTTTTACACCAAGGTAACAGCAGCCATTTTGTAGCACCAGACCTGCACAACCTCGTTTTCAAAGGAAGGCCCGGAAGGCAGCCTCCACCCTGTGTTTCACACGTGCAGCCAGCGAGGGGCCAAACGAGGATAGAGAAACCACCTTCCCAGTCCTGTTTCTCAGGCCTCGGGGCCAGGCTTACATCCTATTCTGCTCACCTGGAAGTCAACTGAGGACCAGGCTGGGAAGTAGTAAGGCAGAACTGAGCTTTGTTCCCCCAACAACCAACGTGGGAAAGACTGCCTGGGAGGCCACTCTGCCCACAGCGATGACCTGGAGAGACTCGGAGTGGATTGGGTCCGTGGCTCCCAACCAGAGGGGGGGTCTTTCCCAGAGGCCTCCATCTTAACAGCAGCCCCCCTCACCCCTACCCAGGCTGGGCTCTAGAAGTCAATGCCTCAAGAAACACGTCTGGGGCCTGAGCTGAGTCTGGGACTGAGGCCTTTTCACCTACAGGGCACGGCCGGCCTCCCTACTTCCTATGAGCGTGGGAAACAGAGGAAAAGGGCTTCACACTATAGGAAGCCGGGAAGGAAACCCAAATGTGATAAGGATGAATTCTTTAGGAGAGAGGAAATGGTCGGGGAAAAAAGGTTTTGCGAAGGCGGAACTGACCTATTTGTTGTCAAGGGCAAGGGCTATGCACACTGACTACATCTGTTGTCTTTTTGTGCAACCGTCGGCCTGCAATTCCCAGCGCCACAGCCCTGCCTCCAGCTGCAGTTGCAGCAGCTCTCCCGGGTCAAGCCGCTCAGGCTCTAAGGTTGGGGGGCGGGGAGAAAGGGCGAGGGGGGGGGGGTGAACAGCCATTACGGCGCGGTGCCTGCTGGGGATTGTAGTTCTCCTAGCCTTGGAAGGCGACCCAAGCGCCTGTCACGTCAACAACGACCACGAGAACTCCAAATCCCATCTACCCTTGCGCGGGAGTCGTCCCGCGCTCACCTCTGCCTTCCCTCATTGGTCAACTCGCCTGTCACTGTGTCAACGCTGGCCCTGCGGAAGCACAACCGGATGTGCATTCCGAGCTCAATTAAAGAGTTCATTGATGGCGTTCATCTTTACGAGGCGGAAAGTAGGCCCGGCTGAGAGGGGCGGGGCTGTGGGCGCGGAGGGATCCCCGCTCCTAGAGGAAGGCGACGAGAAGGCTCGGTGGCCGCCGCCGCCATTTTGGGCTGGGAGGAGGCAGCGGAGGGACTCGCTGCACAGTGAGAGCACCCCCTGGGGGGCGGTGCGGGCGTGGGGCGAGACCGGGCCCAGTGGGCCGCCTGACGTGGCGACGCCGGGAGACGGCGGGAAGCGGGATCGGGGACCGGGGAGGTGAAGGTTGGAGTCTTCCCAGCCGGGCCTGGTCCTCAAACCGCCCCGGCAGCCTCGCAGCCTCTCCTCCTCTCCCAGAGGGGCGGGGTTCTTGGGGGTGAATTACCGCGTGTTTCCCGAGACCCCCAGGCTGGGGAGCGATCGGGTGAAAAGGATCTCTTCTGCTGTCCTTCCACCAGGGCGCCGGTCCTGCGGCCGAGCTCCGCCAAGTTCTTTCCCCAGCCCCATTCGGCCCGGGTATGGCGGCCACCCCGCCCCCGCCCCCACCACTCCGACGGGCGAAGTGGCCGAGACGCCAGATTCCAAAGACTGGCGCCGCCGGGGAGGGTGCGGGTGGAAGCCCGGGCCGCGCGTCCGGAGCTCCGGCCCGGCCGTCCGCTAAGCCCGAGGCTCTGAAGTCCGAGCGGCCGGTGCGCCCGCTGCTCCCCTCCCCGGACACCGAGGCCGCCGCGGCCGGGCTCCTTCCCGCGGTGACAGCCCAGCCCCCGCCCCCGGGACCGCTAGGTGGGAGCCTGTGGGAGCCTCGGGAGCCCAAAGGCGGGCATCTCTGGACACTTGTCCTAACCAGCGCCCATTCTCCGAACGACCTGACCTCGTACGCCGCCAAGCCACTTTGGGAAACTCCAAAAGTGTTTTGTTTTTTGTTTTTTACACTTTTCGTAAATGTTTGCATCCAAGGGGTATGGGTGGGTTGTTTTTTTTTTTGCCCTTGACAGACTTGGGACACAAAATAAACTCAGAGTCGCCAGGACTTAATGGAAATAAAAAGGGAGTAGCCCCTATCGGGTGCTTCAGCAACATCTGTTTGCATTTTGAAATCTGAGCCATAACTTATACCAAAACTTTTGGAGACATATCTGCCCTCCTAGGGGAAAAAGGAACGCACGGATTCCAATGGAATCTTTATAAGACTACAAGTTCTTTCCAGTTTTAAAGGACTTTTCTCCCACCTACTACACGGGGGAGCGTTTTGTCCGCTGGTGCCTTGTTACTGCGGAACCTCAATTTTTGAAACGCCAAGTAGTTGAAAAAGTCTCTTCTATGGATCCTAGGCGTTACTAACACAGGATTGGCAGTTGGGAGCTACTTCACATAGATGGAGTTTTGGAGAGAGGGGACACCTACTCTGAAAAACAAGCACCAACTCAGGCTTACCTCACAGCTGTGGTAGCTTCTGAAAGGTTGAAGTTTAATGTGAAATTTTTTTGGGGGGGGGAATTGCAGATTAAACTGTTGTTTCCTACTGCTGGAAACCTAAACGCAGGGAGGTATTTTAATAATTCTTTTGCTAAAATGTCCGTTAATGGTAGTCCTCCCACTAGAGATGGGCTCCCGCCTGGCCCATTTCCCAAATAAAATAAATAAATAAATAAATAAGTACAGAAATGAAATGTCCGTTAAAAAATTATGCCTAGGTAGATTCTGAAGGAGGGGAGTGACTGGGCAGTGACTTCCTCTTTGAGGTTATCTTTCCATGACTCTCATTGCCAGTTAGAGATGGTCAAACCATTTCTAAGTCTTTGGCCTTCATACCAAGAAACTGAATTCCTGCTCCTCCTCTTTATAAAGTAAATGTTTTAAAAAGTTGTGAGAGTGACAGTTCCACAGCCTTAACATTGACCTCTACCCCCAAAGCTATTCTCCGAGAAAGTCTTGGAACTGGATTGAGAGATGGGACCACATTGATTTCAGTTCTTTATCAAAAATTTGAACCACTTAGTCCTAAATGAAGCTTCAATTCACTCGATTCATACTGTAGGTTGACTTTTGGCTTATAGCTTGTTCATTTTACATTGTGATTCAGATCAAGATGGACTCAAGTTAGGAAAAGCTGACACTAACTTAGTAGGAGTTAAGTTAAATAGTCAATAAGTTAAATAGTCATAGAAACTGAAAGGGGTTCTGAAGATTACCTTTTTGGTTCTTCAGTCAAGAATTTAATGGAGGAGTGATTCACCCTCCATTTTGAAGTAACCCAGTTAAACCTTTGGATGTTTCTAAGGGGAGAATACCCAGAACTTTGTTACTCATTTATAAAAATGAAAGCTTATCCTCTTTAAGGTTGACCTGTAAGCTTTTCCATTCCTTGATAAGAAAAGTTGGAAATAAAACTAGTTTGGTTATCTACTGAAGAAAACAGGACTGGAAATTAGGAACTCCAAGTTCTATTTCTGTGTGCTACCACTGACTTGGTTGGTTTGGCTAGAGGCCAAATCCTAAGATTAGGCCAAACTGCTTTGTTGCTGAGTCTATTCATCTCATGTCCAATCAAACCTTTGACTTCCTTCTCAACTCTCTCCTTTCAGATGAGTTGATTTTGGAGTTTATAACAAATTCTATTATAGATGGACTATTTTGTATATGCCTCAGTTTCCTTTTTAAAAACTTTATTTTTTATTATTTTTTAAATATATTTTATTGATTTTGTACAGAGAGGAAGGGAGAGAGATAGTTAGAAACATCAATGAGAGTAATCGATCAGCTGCCTCCTGCATACCCCCTACTGGGGATATGCCCGCAACCAAGGTACATGCCCTTGACCGGAATCGAACTCGGGACCTTTCAGTCCCCAAGCTAATGCTCTATCCATTGAGCCAAACCGGTTTCGGCTAAAAACTTTATTTTTTTTAAAATTTTTTTAATAAAATATATTTTATTCATTTTTTACAGAGAGGAAGGGAGATGAGAGTTAGAAACGTCGATGAGAGAGAAACATCGACCAGCTGCCTCCTGCACACCCCCTACTGGGGATGTGTCCGCAACCCAGGTACATGCCCCTGTCTGGAATTGAACCTGGGACCTTTCAGTCCGCAGACCGATGCTCTACCACTGAGCCAAACCGGTTTCGGCTAAAAACTTTATTTTTTATTGAATTCATTGGGTGTGCCTGTTTCCTATTATAATTTGAAAATGGTACTAATGCTACCTGATAAATATTTGAGACATAACTGTTCTCCGTAGCCATCTGTCTAAACATTTACTTGCTGTAACTTCCTTATTTGGGAACATTAGTACTTCTGCTTTGAAGGTTATGTGGAGTAGTAGGGAGGTCGGCAGTACAAAGGGCCCCTCTGAACGGGCTGAACGAGGGTCAATCTCTCAGGGTACCAAGCAGTTGTTGCCACAAAGTCCTGAATGTTGTACATTTGCTTCATGTCCAACTTTTGGGGACTAAGGGCTATGTGTGAGCAGGATTCATTGATTTTTAAAAAATATATTTTTATTGAGAAACATCAATGTTGAGAGAATCATTGATTGACTGCCTTTTTGGACGCCCCCTCCCCCACCCCACTGGGGATTGAGCCCACAACCTGGGCATGTGCCCTTGCCTGGAATCCAACCTGGGACCCTTCAGTCTGTAGGCCAGTGCTCTATCCACTGAGCCAAACCAGCTAGGGCTCATTGGTTCTTTGCAGCAGTCCTCTTCAGGATGAAGATACTTGCTTCTGAACTATTTGATTCCTACAGTTAATTCATTATCATTCTTTGTGTTTATTGTTTAGATATATTTTTATTAATTTCAGAGAGGAGGGGAAAGAAAGAAACATCAATGATAAAAGAGCATCACTGATGATCAGTTGCCTCCTGCATGCCCTGCTCTGGGGATCAAGCCTGCCACCCATGCAAGTGCCCTGACTGGGAATCAGCCATTTCCTCCTGGTTTATAGGCCAATGCTCAACTACTGAGCCACGCTGGCTGGGCTCTTTGTGTTTCCTCTCCCCATTCTCTTTTCTATCTTTCTAAGCTGTTCAAATGTTTGCTGTTCTGTTAAGTACATTTTTAGTAATAACTAGAAAGGGAAGGTAGCACTAACCTCTTACACCTTCACTTCCATCTGCCAGTTTGGTCTCCTGCCTTTGCCTGAAAGTTGTACTGGAGTTATCCAGATATGCAGAATTACATGTTTAGAGCAGGTTCAGAATTTCAAATTAACCTCTTTTTATGACTCTGTGGAGGTTAGGACAAGTTCTGCTGAGTACTTTATAAGAGCAGGGATGCTATCATTTTCTCCAATTCTTTTGCATGGAGCACTCTAAAGCTTCAGGGATATTTCCCTCAGGGATATTTCCCTTCAGGAAATATTGCTCACTGCAGAGCCAGGCCTTTTTAACACTTCACACAAAACCAGTGAATGTATCAAATAGAATATGACCTCAGAGGAGTATTTGTAATTCCATTCTGAATGTTTGTTCGCGCGGGGGGGGGGGGGGGGGGGATGTGTAAGCCAATGTAACTGTTCTTGGTGCTGCTGTATTAAAAGATCACACTATTTCAAAAGACTTACCAACAGTTTTCTGTAGCATCTCAACCATTTGAAAGAATTTTGATAACTGAACCAACTCTAAGAAAGAAAAAGAAATTTCTTCGGGAAGATTTGTAAAAGCTATAGCATTGATTTGTCTAAACCCAGCCTTTGTTTTTCAACAAGAGATGGAAAGAGGTTGTAAGCTTTCCAGTATTCAAAGATAACTGGCAAAACGTGGCCAAAGATTGAATCTTTCCCTCCTAGACCATAGATTTGGTCCCATTGGCAAAGAGTGACTATTACACTTTCGTCAGCAGACTCCACTGTGTTCAGGACCTAAATTTGACATTTTCTCTTAAAATCATTTTCATTCTAGCATCAATGATTTATACTTCATGTGGGAAAGAATAGTAAAGTGGAATTTTATTCCAATGATCTTGTCAAATGTGAAAAAGTAATAATAAACATGAAAGTGTATCTCCTTAGGTACAAGTACCATCCTTACTCTAGCCAACTTTCCCATCACCCTGTTGCGAATATTCGTTGCCAGCAATTCTGGGTGTAAGTGGCCAGGGGGACACCTGTAGTGTATTACCTAATGTTTGGCTAAATATAGCCAGTTCTTGGTTTTTTTAAGGTAAACTATTGGGTTATGGATTTTTTTTTTAATTTCTTGGATTCACTCTTTGGTTTCTCTAATTTTTGAAGTCATTAGGATAAATTATCTTTATTTACATTTCCCCAAAGGATTTTTATATTTATACAAAAATTGTATTTTTACAAATCCTGGATGAAGTGAAAAAAAAAAATACCAATCAGCTTGTGGGTTTGATCCCTAGTTGGGCACGTACAGAAGGCAACTGATCCATGTGTCCCTTCCTCCCTCTCCCTCTCTAAGTCAATTAAAAAAAAAAAAATCCTGCCAGAACCGGTTTGGCTCAGTGGATAGAGTGTCGCCCTGCGGACTGAAAGGTCCCAGGTTCGGCTGAAACCAGTTTGACTCAGTGGGTAGAGCTTCAGCCTGAGGACTGAAAGGTCCCAGGTTCGATTCTGGTCAAGGGCATGTACCTTGGTTATAGACACATCCCCAGTGTGGGGTGTTGCAGGAGGCAGCTGATCGATGTTTCTCTGTCATTGATGTTTCTAACTCTCCCTTCCTCTCTGTAAAAAAAAAAAAAATCAATAAAAATATTCTTTAAAAAATCCTTGGATGAGAAAAAATAAGATGTGCACTTGCTAAATGCATATGTAAAACATTTTCATACTACTCATTTAATCCTTTTATCAGTTCTGTAAAGCAGCCATAGCCCTCTTTTGCTGATGAAGAATGAGGCTCAGAGTTTGAGAGATGTGTCTAGGATTGCATTGGTAGTACATTTATGTCAAAGGTATGACTGGAACCCGGGTTCCTTAACTTCCAGTCTGGTCTAATTTTTACCATTTTCCTCTCCTTAGAGTTACCTAGTCTATTTTTCATAAATAAACCTATCGAACTCCCTGGCTTTTTCTCCTCAAACTGAAATCTGAAGGTATTTGTCTCTGAGAGCCTCTTTTATGTTCTAGGCTAGCCCAAGAAGTTTTCCTCACTCAGGAGATGAAGCTACCCAGCCAGCTGTCTCCAAGTTTAGGCGGTGCTTTGCCCTGGCTAGATCTCCAGGTCCCAGAGTTAGAAACTGAAATTGCTAATGTGTAAGCATAGTCTTTTGTGCGGCTCAGTTGAAATGTTTGGTAGGACATACTTCAGTGAAAGGGTAGAGTGGATTTGAGGATCATTTGTCATCACAACCCCCCAGTAATATAGGTAATTCAGTCTTCTGCCCTGAGAGCAATAAGCTAGTCAAGTGTTTCAAAGTAGAAAGTGTTGATAGAAACTCATATTTCACACAAAACTCATCATTCTAAGAATATAAATGCAATAAATATAGTAAAATACCAGTGCCTTTGAAAGCAGAATTCAGAAAGTTGTATAGCTCAAGATAGCAATTTATGAATTACTTAAAACTAAATGTATTTTTAAAAATGGGACTGATAATGAACTTGTAGTCTCTCCAAGACTAATAGGGGAAACAAGATTCTTTCACATCTATCTTAAGAAGAGGTTCTGAAATTAGAGGTTATCACTGCTGCATTGCATCCTTGTGCAATCAAAACGAGGCTTCTGCTCTGCATTGAAAAGCCAGAGGGCAGTGTTGCTGCCCTTCCATCAAGCAGCGGGGTTTCTGGGACTGCTGCATGATGTCATAGCAGAAGAAATATTAAAAACACGAAGAAAACTACTTCAACTTAGACATTTAATGTAAATTTTAGGCCAAAGGAAAAACTGATTATACATTGTTTCACATGGGCCAATTACAGAATAGGGCCAGAGGCCAGCTCAGTCCAGCTTTGAGGGCCTTGAGTCAGTCTTGACCAGCATAATTTCCTTTGACTCGATTTGTGTATGCTTCTTATGCACCATGCATTTCACTCTGAAGTTCCATCACCCCCACAACTTATCTGCAAAAGGATCTTCGTAGTGGGTAGAGGAAGGCTTTTCCCCATTTCCCTGCAGTTTTTAAACCTTCAACAAATTTGGCAATCTCATTCTCTTGAACCCTTTCCCTGGGGAATATGTACATATAACACCAGTCTACATGTAATTTTATTTGGGTTTGTGGACCCCAAGTTAAGGAACCCCTGTGCCAGAGATTTGAGGAGTGCAATTACCCTGAGGAAATACAGGGCAGCTGAAGGTGATGGGCAGAGGGAACAGTCTCAATTTCTTACTATTTTGATTTGCGGGCAGAAATTCCCAGGGTCTTTCAAGAATCGCTATCTGCGCAGTTTAGGAGCTGAGAATAGCGGCTGTACAGGAAATATGTGCAGGGTTCCCGCTCAGCCCCCAAGGAGTTAATGTAGCTCTTTAACCAGAAGCCTTATATTTGATTTGCAGTGGGGGGGGGCGGGACTAGGGAAAGGGGGTAAACAGGCATTTAAAATTTCAGTTCTACCCTCAGAAAGGTGGGGAGCTCCTATTCTTTTTTGGTATAGGGAGAACCTAAGTATTCGACAAGTTGGGTAAGTCCCTGGAATGCTCCAAACAGCTCTTTCCTTTGTAAATCCAATACCCCCTATATCTAAACATCTTAACATAAAGAGCTGCCCCATAGGTTATTCTGCCATTGCTTGCATTAAGCAATGGGTTTACTAAGGGCCTCTTCCAGGTATTTAGGAACTCCCAGCCTCAAAGGGGAAGGGAGAGGAGTCGGGTGGGATGGAGATTACGAAAAACCTACTTGTAGGAATGAAAGGATGCTGTCAGTTGCCTTAACTGCCAAGTTAGATTTATATTTTTGTTAATAGACTTTTGAATGGCTAATGAGCAGGATTAAATTTTAATCTTCCAATTGTAGCCACTTTCTCTACTCCCCAAACACCCAATACTGGTTTATTTCTCCAACATCGGGAAAGAACACCAAAGTACTAGGAAGCAAGCACACTTAAGTTAGAAGCTATTTAAATCTTTATATTTTGCCTGAACTATATATTGTAGCACATTATAACTCAAGAGGAAAACCAGCAAATTGAAAATTCTCCCATTAAGAGATTTTTCCAAACAAATTTAATTCTTTATCCCCCCCCCAAAATGCAACCGCATAATCAGTACTATTTCGAATTAGTTCTAGAAACCACACTTAAACCATATTACATTTACAAATATTAAATTTATTATAACTAGAATGGATTTAATGGTTCTCAGATTTGGCCACCTTATAGATCAGTTTAAGAGGATTCTTAACAGAAAATGCATTGTAACTTGGTCAAATTACACATTAAAAAAAAAAAAAACTAAAGAAAAGTAACGCATCCCTCAGTTTCACATAATTAAAGAACAGGAAAAAGCACGCAAGCTACAGCATAGCTAAGTTTACCAAACCAACCGAAGCCGGGGGGGTTTTCTCTTCTGATTATGTCATAAAAAGGTCCACTGTCTTATATACACTTGTACGTAATGTTACATCCCATCGCTGTAAAAAGTCCCCTTTGTCCCTCCCTCCGCAAAGTTCCCGCCTAGTCCCCGAACGCGGCCAGCGGCGCCCGCTCCTGCTGCCGGCGCAGCTCGTTCTCCGACAGCAGCTGCAGGTTCTCGGCGCGCAGCCGGGCCAGCTCCAGCTCCAGCTCCCGGACGCGCGCGTCGTCGCCGCCCCCCAGCCGCTTACTTTCCAGCCGCAGCCGGTTATTCTCGTCCTCCATGCGCGAGAGGCACTTCTCCAGCTCCAGGTACTCCCTGATGAGCTCCTGCTTGCTCATGTTCTGCAGGCTCTCCGCGTGGTACCGCTCGTAAGTCTCGGAGAAGTCCCGCTGCAGGAACTCGCTGCCGTCGCCGCCCATCCCGTCGCTGCCGCCGTCCTCCTCGCCCGCCTCCTCCATGAACTCCTCGTCGCTGGTGTCCGACTTGGCCGCCGCCCGCTTGGGGTAGAAGCCGGTTTTGAGGTCCGGCTCCTCCTGGTCGTGATCGTCCATGAGGAACTGCGTGGTGTTGTAGGGCGCCACCGGCTGGCCCTTGGCGAACATCTCGGCTCGAACCCTCGAAGCTCGAAGGCTCTGTTTCTCGTCGAACTTTCTCTTCTCCTCCCAAGTCAGCTTGTAGTACGGCTTCCAAATCCGCTTCTTCTTGGAAGGGCGTCGCCGGTGCTTTTTCTTGCCCAGCTGCCTCTGCTGCTGCTGCTTCCACGGCTCCTCGCCCCCGGCGGCACGAGCCCCCAGCTTGTTGGCTTCGGTGTCCTGGCGCGGCTGGGTGGGCGGCTCGGCCTCGGGCCGCTGCTCCCCTCCCGCGGGCGGCGGGGCGGCCCCCACAGCGGACACGTCCTCTCCATTCTGGCCCTTGTCGTCCGCTTCCAGGCAGCTGGGTTCTGGGCAGACCTGGGGTTCTGGGCAGACCTGAGGAGACGGCTGGGGTTCCAGGCCCCCTTCCCCCTCCTGCCCAGGACGGCCACCCGGCGGGGACGCTCTCGACTGCCGCCTGCTGTCGTCCTCGGGCGCCGGCTGCTCTGCGCCCGGGGGGCGGTCGGGGCTCCGCTCCTCTTGGACGGCGTCAGCGCCCGCACCGTTGCTGGTGTGAGGCTGGTGCTGGTATTCCGACACGAGTGGCTCGGCCATGGCAACGAGAGTCCTCAAAGTTTGAAGAATTTTGGCTGTAAGTCCTTGGAAGAAAAATGAGGCTTTTCTTTCCTTGAAGAAAAAAAATGTCCCACAGAGTCCGCTCCGGTGATTCCTGCAGTGATGCCTTTGGCCGGTCCTGTCAGCAAACTCCAATGGCAACTTGGGGGCGCTCGAGCCAGGAAAGGGTTAAGCGCCACCGCGCGATCGGCTCAGCAGGTCCAAGGGGTGCAGCAGCAGGAGCAGTACGTGATGTACGGAGGGGTCGGCCTCAAGCCTCCCCGCAGAGCGCCCCCACAGTGGAGGAACTGGTGGGCTAGGTGAGGTGAAGTCCAGTGGGTTAAACCCAGCCCCGAAGGGGTTAAAACTACCCGCTGACGCTGCCTCTGAGGGGCCGGACCCACAAAGGGTTAAATCCCCTGCCGCAGCGCTCACAAGGGGTTAAGGTCCCAGAGCCGCCACCTCCCACTTCCACGGGTGTCGCTCCAAGCCCAGCTCCCAGTTCCTCAGGCCGGGCCGGAGCCTCATCCGAGGACAGGCAAACTCATCTCCCCTCTGGCTCAATGTTCTGCTCTGCTCAGCTCAGCTCTCCTCCTCTCTTCCTCCCTCCCTCCCTCCTCCCCCTCCCGACAGCTCTTCCGCCTCCTCCCGGGCTGCCCCTCCCAACCTGCCTTTCCACCTGCCAACTTCCAACTGCTGCCTCCCAGCCCTCTGCGCCGCTTTTATATAGAAGCTTGGCCGCCGCCCATGCGCATGCGGGATGGAGCCCCCATGACAGGACACTGGGACTCGTAGTTCCCATCTTTCGGGCCCGCCGCCACGCGCGCCGTGCGACGTAGCCAATGCCTGACCGCGCAGGGAGCGTCTCCCAGGCCGCCTCCCGCCCCCGCCGGGCCCTCTTTGGAGAAACGTGAGTGCCCATTGGCTCACAGGCACACGTGTCGCGGAGGGAGGAAGCCAATGGCGCGAGATGGGGCGGGCCCTGGACCGTACCATTCTGCCTCAGGAATACGAGAAGATTCCAAGGTCCGTGAGGGCCTACACAGAATATTTTAATGAAAAGGTGCGTCTTAAAGCATGTTATCGGGTTCTGTACTCAGTGGAGAGGTGCCGAAGGTCGCAATCATATGTTAACTGTGTCAAAAAAATGGTTTATTCCTAAAAAGTAGTCCCCTAAAGTGTAAAAAATATATTAAATCTTATAAAGAGACCTAGGGACCCATGGCTGGTAACTCTCAATTCTTAAGATTACAGAAATGGTTTAAAAGTGTGTTGCTAGAACCTCGGGCCGACGATTGCGGACGGATATTGGGGTACATTTTGTAAAAAAAAAAAAAAAAAAAATGAAAAGCGCATGAAGAAGTAAACAAATGAAGTATAAAAAGTGCCGCCTTAAAGGGGCAGTGCGACTGCGTTAGCGCAGCAAGCGCGGACTAGGCCTCAGAGGATGAGAAGGCAGGTTCGAGTCCCGAGTGGCGTCCGCCCTCGGATGGGAGACCTACGGGGGGGAAGTGCCCAAGCCCAGCCCCAGTGTAGCCCTTCAGGGCCACCGCCGCCCCCGGGATGCCACCGCCGCAAGATGGAGGGCTGAGGGCCTCTCGCCTGGCCGGTATCCGGGAAGCGCGGGGTGTGCGCCAGGGGCTCCCTGGAAACCCCGGGGTAGGAAGGCCTCGCCCCTGGGGCCTCAGCTTTTAGCGAAGAAAATGGCCTCTGGGGCCGACGTGGTCTGTTGAGAGCGTTTTTTGAGATGGACAGGGGATCCGGGCCAGCTGATGAACCTCCTTATCGGAGAGGGGTTCGAAATTAATAGTGAATTTAAGTAATCAACCCTGGCTCATAGAGAGAAGGGAGGATCGCCCACAGAGGCTCTTCCTCATCCGTGGGTGCTGGGCACCGGGAGGGAAGCAGAGCCAGAGGCTTCCCCAAGGAGGAGGCTTTATCCAAAACCGGGAGCAGGGCGGGTGGCCCGGGCCTGTGGGATGGATCCATGGGGAGAGGTTGGAAGGCTTGTTCTTGAGAAAATTCTCCAGATTCCAAGCACCTGCCCAAAGGACCGGGCCTGGGAGTAGCTCAAACCTTTGGTCCTAATTACTTAGGCCTAAATCCATCCTAATCTTAACTTCTCCCTATTACCACACACGCAGCGACCCATTCTTATTTCTCCCTTAATATCAATAGCGGCTGACATTCCAACAGCTTTTTACCGTATAATGTGCTTTTACCGCAGAACCATTTGACCCCATCACGGTCCAGTGAGTAAGGATAGAAATTATTGTCTCCATTTTAGAGATAGGAAGTCTCTTAAGATTCAGAGAAATTAAGTGACTTGTCCAAGGTCACACGACAACTAGTTCCAGCTAGTGTGAAGGTCTTTGTGACCCTCGGGCCATTTTTCTTTGTCACAAACACAAAATCCAACTCTAGATTTAGTTCCTTTTCATTCCTAACAATTTCAGCATGATTCAGGCCCTTATTTCTTCATTTAGCCAAGATTTGTTAGGAAGGCATGATGATGGATAACATGTCATCTTTGCTGCTCACAGACTGTGTGAAGAGGCCATCAAGCCACAGTGAGCCAAAATGGCAGGGGACAAAAATCAGACAGGAGCTGGTGAGCCAGGCTGCTTAGGGGTTGACAATTGCGTACAGGTTTCAAGGGGAAGTGACTTATTAGCTGTCTTTGAAGGATGAATCATTTTCAGGCAAAGGGGCATACAGAAGGGCAAGCATCATGTTCAAAGAAAGGATTTGTCTGGGAATTCACGAGTGGTTCTGTGAGGAAGTGGTGATGGCAGGCCAGAGGGAGAGGCGAGCAAGAGTGCCTGTGGGGCACGGCCCGCTGTTTTGAAATTGACCACCCCAGCCTGTTTTCCCCGGAGCCTCTAAGAACTCAGGTCCGTCTGAAAAGCCTCCTTCTGTGCAGCTGCTTCAGTCAAGCAGGAGGCTGCTCAGGAGCAAGCGCCGCCCCTCCCACCAGGAGCACAGGGGAGCGCCAGGGGCCTCTCTGCTATCAGGGAGTTAGAGACCTCCAGTTTGTTACCACATTTTTAGACTCCAGAGGGCTCCTGGGTACCCTCAATCGGGGAATCTGGAGCCCAGCCTCAGTTTACTGGACAGGGCGCAGCGGTGTGCACTCATTTGTGGAATTCTAGAATGCTATCAAACAGGCCAGGCAGCTTACCATTAGCTGAGTTTTAACCCTTTGCCAGGCATTTTACATACCCTGGTCATGTAAACCCCAGGACTGACTGACTGTCTTACGATCACCATCTTTATTTCACAAACAAGACAACCCCGGGCTCAGAGCAATTAAGACCTTGTCTTGTCCGGCCAGTGTGCCTCAGTGGCTGAGCATCAACCTATGAACCAGGAGGTCGTGGTTCCATTCCAATCAGGGCACGTGCCTGAACTCGATCCCCAGTCGGGGGCTTGCAGGAGGCAACAGATGGATGATTCTCATCATTGATGTTTCTATGCCTCTCCCTTCCTCTCTGAAATTAATAAATATTTTTTAAAAGATCTTGTCTTGCCCAAGTCACAACAATTAGTGTGTGCAAGAGGTGGGCTGGCTTCCGCCCACACTTGCATCCCAGCACCAAGCCTGTCCCTCTCCCTCCGCTGCTGCTGCGGCCTCTCCTTGTAGCGCTGGGCCGTCTGTGCAGCAGCGGGGCCATTGGCCGAGCCCGGAGAGTGGACAAGGCCAGGGGCTGACCCAGGTAGCTCCACGGAGGGATATTCAGAACAGCTCTTCCTCACCCAGGGGCAGGAAGGTCCTGGGGACCTGGCCAGAGGCCTCTGAGCGCCCACCCGGCCTGGGTGACGGCTGGTGTGACCAAGGAGGCCAAGGTTGCCCAGGGTGAGAGAGGGAAAAGCAGTGCCCAGCAGCAGGTTACCGGGAGGTCTGCGCCCACACCAAAGGGTCTCCTGGCCAGGTCCCCGCCCCCATGCCTAAGGGCGGGGCAAAGGCTCCCACTTGGTCTTGGCCTTCCAGAAAGTTCCCCGGGAAAGCCCAGGGGAAGAGATCACGGGAAGGGGGCCCAAGCTGAGGGTAAGCGGGCAGTGGGCACTTCCGGGAGCCTGGACCCCAGGCCTCCGCGCGCACCCAGGGAGCAGCCACTCGTCTTACGATGCCGGAGCTGCGCCATCTCCTGGGCCCCCACCGGGGAGGCGGAGGGAGGGCGGGTGGGGCCCGCCTCTCCCCTCCCAGGACACTCCCGCCCCCCTCCGTCTTTCTTCGGGACCCCCGCTCTGTGCTCCCTTCTGTCCATGGAGGGACTCCCGTCCTCAGAAACAGCCCCAGCGGCCTCCCGGGTTGTCCAGGGGGCATAGATGGGGGGCAGGAGGGGAGAAGAGGGACTGTGCCCCGGGCGCTCGGGACTCGATCTCCGCCTCACTTCGTAGATGGCAAAAGATTATTTTATTTAGTGAAACATTCATCTGTAAGTGGATCTTCAGTGAAGACGTCCTGAGTGTGCGTGGGGGAGAGGAAGTCCCGCAAACGGAGCTCTCGCCCCTCCCGGGGGGCTGCTCTCTGCCTGCCCCCAACTCTGCGGGGCCTCCCTCCCGAAGCCTCCCGCCAGCCAATCCCCGGCCCGGCCCAAGTCCCAACCTGCCCGGCAGCTGAGCGCCTCGGGAGAGGCTGGGTGGGAGAAGTCAGGTGACCCAGGGGTTGGGGAGGGCAGAAGCAGCCCCGCCCCCGAGCCACCGCCAACCCAAAGCCCGGGATGGGCACTGCAACCGCCACCTCCCAAGGAAACCGGGGTGGCTGGAGGGGGGGAGGTGGAGGAAGCATCCTCGTGAAGCTGCTGGGAAAGCCGGGGTCTCACTTGCCGTGCTCCCCCTTAGGGGAGGGGTGCCAAGGCAAACACTGGTTGTTAGTGGTGGTGGGTGGGGTTAACGCTCTTCTCTCAAACCCTAGGAAGGCTCCAGGCACAGCAGGACTGGGGGCACACGGCCTCCTCCGTTGGCTGCATACTCCTCCATGGAGAATCACCTCTTCAGGGTCCGGAACTGCCTGACGAGCCACTGGACAATGAAGGGCCACAGGAGGAAGAAGAGCAGCGTAGGGCCTGAGAGCCTGAGGGGCCAGGGCCGATCCCGGGATGGGGGCCTCTGCTGCCAAGAAGGAGGGAGAGAGTCAGGGCCAGCCCGGCCTCAGCACAGCTGGCCCTCCTCAGGAGCTGCTTCCAGAACCAGCAGGAGCTTCTCATTCAGATGGAAAGAGGAGCAGAGAAGCCCTACCCCCATATCTGCACCATGGGAGGGAAGGACCCTGGGTTCCTCCTGTGTCCCTGACAGATGAGCTCCAACTCACTTCCACATCCTCCTCCCAGGCAGTCCCAGGTGCCAAGGGGTGCAGGGGCTGCCAGGCGGAAGGGCTGGCTTCTAGGCTGTTTCCTCTGGGTCAGAAAGCAATGGCCCTGTTGGTGTGGCCTTAAGCCCCTCGTATTGTAAAGAATGTGCCACATGTTTCAAATGAGGACCCAGGCTGCTCAGATATTAATCTCTATATATTTTTTTGCTAAAAGGAGCCAGGACTCCTTGGAGAAGTGGCCGATTCCAGGTCTGGAGCAGGAAAGGTAGAGGTGAATGAAAGCAAGGAAGCTTTTAAAGATTAATGAGGTCATGATAGGACCCAACTTGAAAGGGTCCCCACTGACCAAATTGTGACAATCTGAGCATTAAAATGAATGATTGCAGTTGATTGAAATATTGAATCTTTAAAACCCACCTATCCACATTGATACAAAAAGAGAAAGCTGGAAATTTGTCACCATTGAGGAGGTTCTTAAATAAATTTCTTACTTTAAAAATATTATTAGCCCTAGCTCTATCCCAGTTTGCTCAGTGGATAGAGCATCGGCCTGCAGATCAAAAGGTCCGGGGTTCGATTCCAGTTAAGGGTACGGACCTCGATTGCAGGCTCCTCCCCAGGCCATGGTCAGGGCGCATGCAGGAGGCAACCAATTGATGTGTTTCTCTCACATGGATATTTCTCTGTTTTTCCCTTTCCCACTCTCTAAAAATCAATATCCTAGGATGAGGATTAAAAATAAGAGAATAGCTGAAACCGGTTTGGCTCAGTGGATAGAGCATGGGCCTGCGGACTGAAAGGTCCCAGCTTCGATTCCGGTCAGGGGCATGTACCTTGGTTGCGGGCACATCCCTGGTAAGGGGTGTGCAGGAGGCAGCTGATCGATGTTTCTCATGGATGTTTCTAACTATCTCTCTCCCTTCTCTCTGTAAAAAATCAATAAAATATATATATATATTTAAAAATAAGCACATATGCTGCCTTTTCATAAGGCACTGTATTTCAGAGAAATCCTAGATGATCAAGGAAACTACAAAAAAGTAACAGCTAATTTTAAAAGGATAATATAATTTTAAAGTAAACCTTTTTGCAACTACTAAATTATTGATTCAGGCAAGGATTATCAATTGTTGTCAAACCCTGCGTGACAAATGGGGTGGACAGAGCACTGGACATTCGCTGGCTCCAAGAGGAGAAGCTGACAATAATGGAGGGACCAGACTGTCCCCCGTTTGTTAGTGGTCCATGTTAGGGTCATTAACGGCAGGATGTGGATATGTGCTCCCTGGTGTGAAGGACATCACCTCTGATGAAACCTGGTCATGTAAACCACCTACCAGGATGCAGTTAGACCCAAAACGTGGAACATTTCATTAGCAAGTTAGTAGCAAGAAAGGGGTTAACCCACACTCGTCTGGGTTCAAAGGACAGAGCGCTTCTGGGCTGGACAGATAGAGCAGCTGGAAAAAGCAATTTTGGGACAGCTGGAGAGATTTGAATTTGTATTGGCCATCTGATGATATGAAGGAATTATTGAGTGTGATAAGATTAGGTAATAGAATGTTCTTGTTTTTAGAGATGCAAACCCAAGTATTTCAGGGTGGAAATCTTTAAACTCTTTAGCATGTAAAATTAGTAAAAGGTAAACAAAATATAAAAAGCCTCAGAGGGTGGTGGGGATGGTGTTGAAATGTTAGCCACTGTGAATGTGAGGCAATTCCTGCCACCCTGGTTGATACTCGCTGTGCCAAGGGGATTAGGGGTCACCCAAATGACTGCCCACATCCAGCAACTCGGCCCTTGCATGCCCCTACCATCCCAGGCTTCTCAAGAACAGACCCATTCCGAGTCAATGGTGGGTGCCAGCTCTGGAGGCAGGCAGAGCGAGGGCCACTCCCAGCTCCATCACTTAATGATAATACCAACAACAGTGAACTCCATTCCAAGAGGTCATTGTGTGTGCTGAGCTCAGGGGAAGTAACTACAAGTATTATCTAATCCTCATAGCAGCTCTGCGAGAGTCTTCCAGGCTGTGTTACCCAACCTCTCAGAGCCTTAGTTTCCTCATCTGTAACAGGGAAATGAAAACCTATTTCATTGGGCTGTTCTATGGATCAAGATAATGCAACTAATGGTATTTGGCACATAGTTGGGCTCCAGAAATGGCAGAAGCTGAGGTGTGAGGGGCAAGCAGATCTTGGCGTCCAGGGAGGAGTGAGGAATGCAAGGGCTGAATTGGTTGGAAGTAAGCCCTAAATCTGGAACAGAAGTCTAACTGAGGAACCACAGGGACCCTCAGCCCCACTGCAAAGAGCAGACACATCCTGGCCCTTGCAACTGTTGGAATTAGTCCTTCCGCTCAGTGTCTCTTCAAGCACAGGGAGGTAAGGGCAGGAAAAGAGGAAGCACTTCGGATTCCCTGCTTGGGATGGAAAGCACACAGTCTCTGGAGCAGGCACAGGTGAGGGCAGGTAGAGAAGTGGGGACAAAGAAGTGGCCGGATGAAGAGCCCAGGACAGAGACCTTCAGAGCCCTAGGCCTGGGGGCTCACCTCCTTGCGGGGGGGTGGCATGCTCTCCAGGCTTTGTAGTCTCCCCTGGACGTCCCGCATGCTCTCCTGCAGTGCTCGAACTGTCCCCACCAGCCACGAGTCCAATTCCTGCGGCCCCGGCAGGCTGCCTCTGAGCCCCTCTGTGGAAAACGGACCCAGAGGGAAGAGGACTCAGGAGGCAACTCAGCCAGGGGCAGGGTATGGGCAGAAAGAAGTAAGAGGAGGGCACAATTCCTTGTACCAAGTGTGACTCTTGTAAAGCCCATCCACATGGCTGAGAAACAGGCTACCAGGAGTAGCTGTGTGACTCTGGGCAAGTTACTAACTTCTCTGAGCCTCATTTTATCATCTGAAAATTAGGAGGAGATACCATCTCCCTCAGGGGCTGCGGGCTCAGAGGGATAAAGAAGATGAAAGTGCCCTTTATGGGACATGGCTCACTGAACGTTATGGAAGGTCCCAAATGGGAGGCCCAGAGAGAGAGAGTCTGACTCCCAGAGCTACGTGGCTACAGCTATGTGGGGGACCAACACTTCCTGCCCAGCTACCCTACTCAGTGCCCGATGGCTCCTGATGGCCTTCAGGGAGACAAGGCCAGGCAAGAACTTTGCCCATCCAGTACCCGGCTGTTTGGCAACCCTTCCTGGGCAGAGGCTGCTCTCTCCAGTTGCCCGAACTAGACTTTCATCTCTGCCCCAAGAGGGCAGCCAAGGAAAGGCCTGGGCATTCGAACCATGGGCAAGGCAGAGGGGGTTAAGGGTGAAGCAGTGATTCATTCACCTTTCCCCGTTGTGGGCACAGGGCTGATTCTGGTGTCAGGCTCTCCTGCAGGTGCACCCTTCTGCTCTGCCCAGACCTGCTGGGGTAAAGTCACCGGGTCCAAAGGGAGCACGGGAGCAGCCGGGCACAGCGGGGCTCGAGAGAGAAGACACAGGGGCTGTCTCACCAGCTCGGGCTCCAGCTGCTCCAGGGAATCACAGAAAACCTCGGGGTCCGGGTCCCTGGGTGGCTGAGACTCTGGGGAGGGTGTAGGTAGGTTAGTGACCAGAGGAAGGCTGTGGAGGGAGGGAGGAGTGCAGAGCTGGGCAGAGGCACCTGTTCAGGGGACAATGGAGATTCTGCCACAAGAGGCACGGATGGGTCCCAGGAGGGAGGCCCAGAACAAAAGTCTCAGAAACCTCCTGGCTTCCCCTGGAGCACAGGAGGTGTCTGCCTGTGGGCATGAGGTCTGACCAGCACAGCAGGGCACCCAGCCTTCTCCCCTTTGCCCCCAGGGGGTCTCCCCCAACCCTGGCTTGTATTTGGCCTCTGCCCCTCCTGTCCAACCACTGACCTGGGCTTGGGGCTGCTGGCTCCTTGGGAAGGCAGGGAGACTCAGGGGTAGCCCCAGTATCTCCATTCAGTACCTGCTCTTCAAGACCTGCAGAGACATAGCACCCAGGGGTGGGGCTGGCGCCTCCCAGTGAGATCAGACCTCTGTTCCCCATTAGCCACAAACTCTGCCCAAGACCCACCCCACCGGGCAGTAGTTGGGGTCCTTACAGGGACGTCACCTGGAGCCCTCTACCCCTGAGCCCCCTCCAACGAGCAACCTCAGCCTGAACCTGACAGCTGACTCAGCACCTGCAGAGCGCCCATCCTGGGGGGCCTGACCTGTGACCTTTTGCAGGAAGGTTTCCGGGGGTCTCGGCATGTCAGGGATCACCTGGTACAGGGGCTCAAAGTAACCAAACATGTCGTCTGCCACCTCGCCCAGGGGCACTGTGTCGATCACCTGTAGGGGATAAGGTTTATTGGGGAATAGCTGGCCTTTCCATCTCTGCCCTTCTCCCCCTGTGAGCTGGGCCCTTCAGCTGGGCCTAGTCAGACCAAGACAAGGTTGGGGGAACGGCATGAAGGTGGTAATTCCCATGGGGTGTCAACATGCAGGAAATATAATGGGGGGCAACAATGGAAGGGGGGTGGGGAGGGCAGGCCACCTGGCTGAGAGCTTGGGGACAGAGAGGAGCCCACAGCCTATCCCTACCTTCTTTGCCACCACCTTCATCTCGGTGATGTAGGCAAACATGGCCTCCTCCCTACTCATCTTGCCCAGGCTGTTCCAGGCATCCCTGAGGGCAGAGAGGTGTGAGAGGCTAGTTGACAAGGGAGGCTTGTTTGCCCAGCCGGCGGGGAGCTCACCACTTATATCGTCCAATGGGGTCCCAGAACCCAGGCCGGGGGGCCCGGCAGGGCCCCATGGTAGCCTGCTTGTAGTAGCTGTAGAACCGAAGCATCTCTTCATAGGAGGGGCGGTAATAACCTGGGCGGGAAGTTGGGGATTGGAGAGCAGAGCATCACCCCCCAGCTCCAAGAGGATGGAGGTGGGGGGGAGGGGCTACCCTAGGAGAAGGCAGAGATGGTGAGGAATCTACCAGGGGCAGGAGGCAGAGGGGACCCATCGGGTGGCCCAGGCAGAGACTTGTCTGCAGAAACTAAAGGGATCAGAGAGTCTCCTGGGAGGCAGGCCCCAGCCGTCCTGACCTCCGAAAGCAGGTCCCCGGCCCTCACTCACTGTTGTTCTTGGGCAGGTTCTGAATGACTCTGACTGCGGCCTGGAACTGTGTCTGGCAGTCCGGCTCCGGGATTTCTTTCTCGGTGCCCATCTCCAGCTGCTCTGAGCCCTGGGTCCCTACTTTTGCGCAACTCTGCAAAAACAAGCCTCCGTGTGAGCAGGCCTCCAGGGTCCACCCCAGCACAGACGTCGACAAACCACTCTGATCCACTTTCCAGAGGGGCAAACTAAGCTCTGTAGAGACCTGAGTGAGATACTCGAGGAGGCCAGAAGCTGCGGCTGAAGCCAGTCCTTTTCCTACTCCGAGCAGTGTGGGTGCGGCGGGGGTGGGTGCAGAGGACCGCGGTGGGTGGGTGTAGAGGCAGGTGGGTGCAGAGGCAGGTGGCTAGGGTCGCAGTGCCCCTCTAGGTGCGCATCTACAACTCCTAGACAGGCGAATGGGCGAGCCAAGAGGAGGCAGGCGGGCGAACAGTCCTCCCCTCCGGGCCCCCGCACCCCGGCCCGGCAGCCTGACACTCACCCGGCGGAGACCCTGCCCGGACACCTGGGTCCTCTCTCGCCACTAGCAGCAGGCTTCCTACTGACCTCCCGGCCCGGCCGGCCCGGCCCGTAAGGAGACGCTGAGCGATGAGAGAGCCAATGAGACAGCCCGTTTCAAAATTGGCTTCTGTACTCCAGCCACTCAGCGCATCCCTTTCAAGAGTATGCAAATCTCTGTGCCTCTCCCAATCAGGAGGAGTGAATCCGGGGTCGGCTTCCCTATCTGGACTGCGGGGACGGGCGGAAGCGCCCCCTGGTGGACAGAGTGAAACAGCACGGAGTACTGTCGCCCCCTGGTGGAAACGCGCGGCTGTCAGCTCAACCCCAGTCTCTCCAGACTCCTGACGGCCACTGTAGATAAATCAGGGAGTCAGGCCCTGGCCGTGTGGCTCAGTTGGTTGAGCGGCCTCCCGTGCACCGAAAGGTTGCCGATTGGATTCCTGGTCAGGGCACAGCCTCAGGTTGTGGGTTCAGTTCCAGTCAGGGTGCATGGGCGAGGTAACTGTTCCATGTGGATGTTTTTCTCCCTCTCTATTCCCCTCTTTCTAAAATAAATACAAACATTTAAAAAAAATAAGTAAATAAAACCGGGAGTCATGTCCTGGGGTAGTTTGTTCTGGAGAAGCGCCATCGGAACTGAGCTGTGGAAAGTTTAGGACTAACCCAGGAGCCCTGGCCGGGTTGCTCAGTTGGTTAGAGCATCCTCCCCATACAATTCCGTCAGGGCACATATAAGAATTAACCAAAGGACCTGGCTGGATTGGCTCAGTGGTTAGAGCGTCGGCCAGCGGACAGAAGGGTCGCAGGTTCGATTCTCAGTAAAGGGCAGGCACATCAGTTGCAGGTTTGGTCCCCAGCCCAGTTGGGCATGTTGGGGAGGCAACCAGTCAATGTGTCTTTCTCAGGTCGATATTTCTCTTCTCTCTTTCTCTCCCTTCTCCCTCTGGTGAGGATTAAAAAACAAACAACCGGTGATTGTGTAAATAACTTCTCTCTCTCTTCCTCAAATCAAATTTTAAAAATGGTGGTAAACCAGAAGAACGAGGAAGGTCATTTTGGAGGAAGAAATTCCAGGATCCAAGCACATACGTGAACAACAACAACAACAAAAAAAAAAGTGCAGAAGTGAAGACAGTGACATTCAGAAAAATATCCAGAAACGGGTGGAATATCCAGAAAGGGGGAGGACCCAACCGGGAATGAGGAACCTCTAAGTGGAGTAAATCTGAGAACGGGGAGAGCCTGGGGCGCTGCCAGGGGCGGGGGCGGTGGTTGTATGAATACATCCCGGGGCGCTGGGGGCCAACGCCGTGCCCGGCTGCGGCCGCCTGTCCCTCCGCTCCGCCCGGACACACGCAGGTGGTGCGTGTACAGCGAGGGTGACACACGACACCGGAGCCGCGCTCCCCGCTCGCTCCGGGGCGATGTCACCGCCATCCGCGCGGCGTGCCGGGGCTGTTCCGGGACAATCCAGGCAGGTGAGGGTGCCAGCCCGCCCGAGCCTCGCACCCAGAACCTAGTTTTGCCGGCCACCGCCGTCTCGGAGCCACCCGCTCCTTCCAGCCCGGTCAGCGTGGAGACTCTACAGCTGCGGGGCCTCCGCCGCCGGGTGCGGGGCAGGTCCGCCCTATGGGGTCACAGCCAGAGCTTCCCGCCACCCCCGTTCCCGCTCCCCACTCCGCGGGTTCGGGCTGCCCGCCCCCAGCTCAGCTCCCAGGGCCCTATCGGCCCGGGAGGGGCCCCTGCCGCGCCGACCCCGGCCAGGCTCCCTGAAGCCTCCCGGTGGGCCTGGGGAGGAGCGGGGGGAGAGGGACCGGGAACCGTGTCAGTGCGGGAGGCGGCCCTCCCCTCGCCCCTCCGGTTCCCTCCCGGAGGCTCAGGTTACTGACGAGGCGGGACCCAGGATCGTCGGGCGAATGGGAACTAACGAACGGGGGCGAAAGGGAGGGCTCGGATCCGCCCCCTCCCCACGCTCAGGGGAGGGCCAGCGCCCCGCCGGGCATCGCACCCCGCCGCCGCTCCTCCCGCGCGGTCCTCGGCCCCGTCCCCTCCTCCTCCCCTCCTTCCCGGGTCCCTCCTCCCCGGTTCCCTCCTTCCCTCCTTCCCGGGTCCCTCCCTCCCTCCCTCCTCCCTCCTCCCCGGCCCCTCCTCCCCGATCCCTCCTTCCCGAACCTCTCCCCTTCCTCTCTCCTCCTCCGACACTCCCTCCTCCGGCTCAGCTCACTCCGGCGCCGCTAAGTTTCTTCGCCGGCGACCGCGCCGCGCCGGGGCCGGGCCAGAGCGGCGCCCCTGCCCTGTCCCCGCAGCCCGGCTCGGCCCCCGGCCCGGCCCCCGGAGCCATGCTGTGCGGCCGCTGGAGCAGCCGCCGGCGCCGGGCGCCCCCGCTGCCCGCCCAGGGCTCCGCGTCGGTCGGGTCGGCGCCCCCGGCCGCTCCCCAGGACGGCGGCGCCCGGAGGCCCGGGCTGCGGGCGCTGAAGAAGATGGGTCAGTGTCCGCGGGGGCTGGGAGGGCGGGGCCTCTGGGGGTCGGGGGTGCTGGGTGGGCTTCCCCGGCTGCGGGACCCTGGCCGGGCCTGGGGTCGCACCTGCGGTCACCGAGGTCCGGCCGCGCTGGGCGCCCAGGACGGTCTGTTTCCCACCAGGAGGCGCCCGCGGGGCGCGCTGCAGGGGGAGTTTGGGGAGGGGTGTGGATGGAGGGGGGGTACCTAAGACCCCCCACTCCGGAGAGTGGAGTGGGAGACAGACTTGGGCGTCCTTCACCCACCTTTAGGGCACCCGTGCCTTTAGGGCACCCGGGCTCTTGGCAGCCCCTGGCAGGTGTGAGCTGTGGAGACACCGGCCTCGGCCAGCCCCCCGACAGCAGCCCCCCTCCCCCGGGTGGGGGGCAGCAGCAATAGGACTCTGGTGGGACTGCCTCACTGGTGGGGACTTCGTCTTCAGGATCAGAAAGCCAGATTCCCACCTCGGATTTGGGGACATCCCTGGGGGAAGGGATGTCACTGTGACTTCTAAACATCTGAGAGACAGGCAGCGGGGTAGTTACGTGTGTGTGTGTGTGTGTGTGTGTGTGGTGTCACTCAGTCTTCACCTGCTGACAGGCAGATGGTGCACCCCCCCATTTCACAGGTTTGGGAAGTCCAGGCATTTGTCAGTGACCACACAGGTGGTGACAGGGCAAAGGTCGGCATGCAGGCTGTGCTTTACACATTGCCACTGGGACCCTCAGGCAAAGTAGGAGTGGCCATATGTATGGAAGAACCTTGTAAAATGTGAAGTACGTGGAACTGGTGCACCTTCGGAACCGCTGTTAGTAGGACGGTCAGCGATGGCGCGGTCGGCTGTGGGGCTGAGGGAACAGAAGGCCAGGGCTGCCCAGGAGACCTGGGTGCATCTTGGAGCAGAATTCCGGGTGCCAGTCGCCAGCCTTGCTTTCTCTTTTCCGTTGTTCTCTGCCCCCCTTGTTCTCACCTCTACCTCCGGTCTTTGACCTGGATTTTCTGGGGACTATGTTCTGAGTAACATGCCTGGCATCCTCCTGAGGCAGACACAAAACATGATCTCTGCCTCCCTCCATCAATCATGCATGCACTCAACCAACATTCACCGAGGGCCTGCGGTGTGCCGTGTCCTGGGAATCCGGCAGCGCACAGGACAGGCACCGTCCGGGCCCTCAGAGAGCTGGGCATCGGGAAGGAGGTCAGACGTGAGGCACAGAAGCAGGACTAGAAAGGGGGGGACAGATGAGATGCTGGGCAGCCAGGGAGGGCCAGGGACTCGAGTGAGGCCGAAGGGGAGAGGCAGGCAGGCCAGGTCTGTAGGCCCCTCCGTACAGAGTCAGGGACTTTCTCCGGAGGGTTGGGTTGGGTTGGATGAGGCAGGGGTGAAACAGGGAGACTCATAGGAGGGAGCTGAGGGGTCACTTGGGCAGACAGACTTGGGCTGGGGTAGTAGAGATGGATTCCAGAACCTCCTAAGGGTCATGATGGGCAAACTGCGGCTCGCGAGCCACTTGCGGCTCTTTGGCTCCTCGAGTGTGGCTCTTTCACAAAATACCACGGCCTGGGTGAGTCTATTTTGAAGAAGTGGCCTTAGAAGAAGTTTAAGTTTAGGAAATTTGGCTCTCAAACGAAATGTCAATCGTTGTCCTGCTGATTTTTGGCTCTGTGGACTGATGAGTTTGCCGACCACTGCCCCGGGTGTAGACGGGGCTGGACTCTGCAGTCGGTGAGATTAGGAAGTGTCATTCTCTGGGCTAAGGCGCTGTGGAAGGTGAGGTGCCACTGAGACAGCAGAGGAGCCGGCCACCCACAGGGGCTCTGGCAGTGGTGGGGAACAGAGGTGGTGCCCGCACACCTGTCTGCCTCTGCATTCCACACACGTTTGCTCAGCCTGGTCTGTGTGCGGGGCGAGGGCTCTGGAGACGAATCACCCCGAGTCTTGCCCTCAGGGGCCACAGGTCGGTGGCAGGCTCTGTGGACAGATAATTGCGGCCGAGCCCGGGCTGAGTAAGGCTGCCCAGGCACTCCGTCAGTGACACAGTCAGGAGCCTGTG